TCAGGGAAGAAGGGGCTTTTTGTATAAAAAACGTCATTTTTCGACCCCCATTTGATCCCCCGGGGCAAAATCAAAATTCCGAAACCTTACTGCACATCTACATGACACCACTAATCATCCCACAAAAGATGATTAGGCTGCTAAGTAAAATGTAAGAGGAGTTCAGGGAAGATGGGGCTGTTTGAATAAAAAACGTCATTTTTCGACCCCCATTTGATCCCCCGGGGCAAAATCAAAATTCCGAAACCTTACTGCACATCTACATGACACCACCAACCATCTCTCAAAAGATGATTAGGCTGCTGAGTAAAATGTAGAAGGAGTTCAGGGAAGAAGGGGCTTTTTGTATAAAAAACGTCATTTTTCGACCCCCATTTGATCCCCCGGGGCAAAATCAAAATTCCGAAACCTTACTGCACATCTACATGACACCCCCAACCATCTCCCAAAGGATGATTAAGCTACTGTGAAAAATGTAGGAGGAGTTCAGGGAAGAAGGGGCTTTTTGTATAAAAAACGTCATTTTTCGACCCCCATTTGATCCCCCGGGGCAAAATCAAAATTACGAAACCTTACTGCACATCTACATGACACCCCCAACCATCTCCCAAAGTATGATTAAGCTACTGTGAAAAATGTAGGAGGAGTTCAGGGAAGAAAAGTGTGACAGACGGACGGACGGACGGACGGACGGACGGACGGACGGACATGAGTAACAACAATATACCCGAACTTTCTTTCGAAAGTGCGGGTATAATAAGGGATGCTGATACATAGAACATTTGACGTAGATAATGTATTTGATGCTGCGTACATGTAGATGGCCTTCTCTACCGAGTCCATTAAGTGGCTATAGAGGATTAATATTAGTTTTGGCAAAATACACAATGTTTGTAAACCTCCCAAAGTGCCATACTCTCTTGAATTAGTATCAACTTCTCTTATTTTTATGCCCCCCCCCTGCTCGAAAAGTGGGAGGATATACAGTGGCCGGGATGTCCGTCTATACGTCCGTCCGTTTGTTACGCTTAGGGGTACTCATCTCTTATCCGCAACTCCTCTTATGATAATAATTTTACAGATTCTTAACTACATAATTGTGCATGCATGCAACTCATATTAAATATATTTGATATGACACATTTTTCGAGTTTCCCAGAGCAATACATGGACTTTGCCATTATAACCAAATGGGAGGCGAGGGTATATCATTTGGTTGGTTTGAACATATTTTATTGTAATTTCTAATTACAAAGGGATTGGGCAAAAGTTCTAAAAACTTATGACGCCCCTCTCCCCCAGTGTATCATTTAGTGAGCTCAGTGCTCACTGTACTACCTCTAGTTGCAGCAAAGTCCATAGCTTAACTATCGCAAAATTTAATAAATCTGTATTATTCATTTAAAAAAAACGTTATATCGAATTGCATGAAAATGTAATTCATATATTTACCGGTATGTGTTTATTTGGAGTTTTTAAATACAAACCCCAGATCAGTTCATTCTATAATGAAATTCGGATTAAATCGACCATAAAAAGATAATTAAGTTGTCCAATATCTAGTGATACCTATTGTATATATCTTAGCCATTTAATTTCACGAAATAAAACTCATTCTTTCTTCTTAATTGTTTTTTCACTCTTGATTAACATTTAATAGTACGAGACAAGTTCTTATACTTCCCGGCTCATGAAGCCTTGATTATTGTATTGATCATGAGACATTGATCGTAAGGCGAGGGTAAAAAAGATTCAAAGATTGAAAAATATCATTTCAATTAATTTAGCCTATTCTGATGGGAATCTTTTTCTGAAGGGAGGGGGGGTGTGCACCATCATTGTAAAATTCTTTTAAATATATGCTATTAAATTCTTGTAAACTACAAGGATTGTGAGTTTCTGTTATCAGAAAACTTCAATTTTTGTACTGAAAAAAAGGGCGTATCTTTTCGATTTAAATTCCAATACCATGGCCGGAAATGTTGGAAATTTTTGCAGTGTACGAGATTTCATAATAAATTTCTTTCACTGGGGAAAAAGTTTTATACGATGTCAGTAGTAGCAAAGACATTTTCTTCACAAAAAAAAATCAAAAATTTCATAAAGTGTAATTTAAGTTAGCTAAAAAATTTTTATTGCATTTACATGTATATGGATGGAAACAACAGAATGTTACTTAGCTGTGCTAGTGAATCTTCATTTATCATTTGTAACACTTCTACCTCACTACTAGTACATGTATATGTAAGCATAGAATAAAATCATATATATATATATATGTGCTCAATCATTCTATACTTTTTGTGAATTTAATTAACATTATCTTTGTTTAATTACCTTTACTAATTACTACAAGAAAACAAACACACAGATAAGGGAACAAAAATAAACAGGCCTAAACAGCTCGCATGACAAAACCCCCAGAATTAATGCAGAGTACCAATTTCTCGTAATATTTTACTTCGCCAACTTCTTGTTAAGGATGATATGCATCTTAAGAAATCACGTGACTTCGGATACTTGCATTCCACAGATGAGTTGTATTTCCTGCTCACCTTGACCTTAGCAGCTGAAAAAATTGTATACATTTTAATAACAGCGTTGGCGGCCTGGCACACGTGCAAATTATTAACCATTTCATCGTATGGAGTGGAAATGTTGGGTGGATGAGGATTTTTTAAAAAATATTTTACAAGTAAGTTTTGATTTGCTGTCAGATTATTTAAGGCTTATATTTCGATAATTATCAAAAATAAGTTTTAATATGATAGTTCAAAATTGATAGATTTTTGGTCATTTTTTACAAGCTGTTTCTAATTACCGGTGCCAGTTTCACTGACTTAAAAATACTCGTTTCTTACAAACAAAACGATTGAATTTAAGAAAAATGTGCATAGCAGAGATTTCTACACGTGAAACATGTGGCGTGAAAGGGAAATGCCAAAATGTATAAAACAAGCTAAATTTAATGTTTTGGGAACCAGAATAGCTTTGACAGATGGGGTCTGTTTTTCCTAGAACCCTTTATTAATGCTATATGGATGTACTCCCTAACCACCTAAAGAGTTTACATCGGATAATCTTGATATGAGAATGTATGTAAAAAGGTCAGAGAGACGTGCTCTATGGAGCAACCCGCGCGCCTTCCCGCTGAGACCTGCTAATCGCCACTCCGGGAGTGTAGTAACGCCAGATCCCGCGAACACTGATAGGCGCAAGCTGTTAACAACTTCCGCCAAAAATCTCATTCATGTTTTTTTTTTCCTGAAAGAACCCGACAGACGTGTGCTTTGTTGTATCTGCTAATGACGTAACCTCGCGCCTACAGACCCTAATTATAGAATTGGTAAACGTTTTGCTGTTGGGAATTTGCGTATTTTGAGTAAGAAATTGTTAAGGAAAACTTAAGTCACTTCTGCTATGCTTTTCCAATGAGAGTGAAGTCCAGAAGCATAGGGCCTAAACATCAAAGCAGAGAGAAAGAAATGTTTATTTGAAATAAATTGAACTACATGTATATTGCATTGCATTTGCTGATGTCCTTCGTCAATGGTAGATAAAGCAAAATCTATCAGAAATTACTGTGTTAAGGATATCTGCTCCTCAACCAGGTTCAATAACTCTTAAAATCATTATTTAATTGAAAAAGTCTAAAATTAAAGTTAAGATTGAAATCTTTTCGTGCAGCAATTCAGGTCTCTTTAAATTCATATACACTGTCTACTAGAAAGAAGACATATTTATATATAATATGAAATTGAAAGTGGTCTGTGGTGTCTTGTACGTAATGATAGCAAAAAAAAAAAAACTTTTTTACACTATGCATAATCTAAATAGAGAACTAAAATACCGTATGTTTGTTTAAAAAAAAAACAATATTTAATTTTCTTCAAATGTATTGATACCTTAAGTTTTCTGTCCTAAAATATACTTGTTGATTAATTTTCAATCAGAAAAAGCCGCAAGGGTTGCTTTAATTCACGTTTTCCGAAAAAATATAGATCTTATTATTTCCCTTAAGCAATAAACTTTGAAGAAATGTTAGGAGTATAAATATATATTTATTACTTGGGAAATTAAGAGTTTTTTGTAAGAATTTTCAATTAATTAACTTCTGATTTTCAGAACCTGAGGATCAGACTACCTTAATAACCAATTGCAAAGATTACTTTTAATAATCAGTGACATTTTTTTTAATGTACAATTTTTTTTTTTTTTTTTTTTTTTTTGATGTTCATTGCACCCGGGAGTTGAGCAAAAAAGTAAAAATTAATTTGTATTCTGTATAATTTATATGATGATGTTTTGTTAAATACCTTACTTTTGTTTAGCACATACTTTAGAGGCAAAATGATCTAAATGACAAATGTTTGAAATGTGATCTACAAAGTCTTTAAAAAAAATATTCTAGTTCAAATGAGGAAAAATTAATCGAAATTCGATGACTTCACCCTAACACGATTAATTAATGACTGTAATATAACCAGTTCTTTTTTCTCTACATAAAGGGTACATTTGCACCCATCCGCGCTCTTTCTCCGTGTACAGGTGAGCTGTAAATTTCAAGTGATCTCGTGTGACGTGTCACGTGACTTATCAAAACTTTTGTGCCACCCCCTTCCCGTGGTTGTTTTGGTCGGCACACCTGTGAATACCTATGGGGTTTGTTTGACACACGTGTAGACGGCGAGAAAAACGACACTTTTAACACAGAGAGGTAAATATTTTTTCTCATTGTTTTCTACGTGGATTTAAACACGTTGATATATCAATTAGTCAACTGAACTTCAGACTTTGACAGCTCAGTCAGGTAAATACACACACGGGGTTTTAAAAGAAGGAAAATGTTTACAAAATAAGCCTTTGTGTGGTGTTCAACTTTTGACCTGTCAGAAAAATCAGCTCAAAATACAGGTATGGTTATAGTACATGTAATTGAAAAAAAGTTATTAAAATTAAAGAAAATGTAGAATAATTTGATTAGTGATTGGAATTTGACGTAATGAGGTAATAAGGTACAGGTAAAGTGAGTCATGCGGAATACCACACTCTATAGGAAGTGTTCTCCATCTTGACGGCGTTTATTTTACAAGTTCTCGATTGTTGAGAGCCCACGGCGCATTATTCCTTGATTGTTATTGTATAATGTCGCTTTATCTAATTTCACTCCATTAAATAACAATGGATGATAGGATGTGAAGAGAAAGAAGGTAAATAGCTAGCTCTAATAACTGTGTGTGCCTAAAGTTTTTAATCATAACAATGCTTGACCTAAATAAATCTGTGCAGAGTATTTATATTCAACAGTTGGTTTGTTGTAAGGCATTGTTATCCATCTATTTCAGTATTTGACAAGATTAATATTTGACAATTTGTGGAATGTACCATCGGCAGTTTATTGTCTGTAGGTTATTGAACTAAAGAGAAATATTTGATTTCCTTCATGTGATTTCTGAATCCTTGTTGTCTTCCTCTTTCATCACTATAACAGGCATGTCACCAATACACAGTCTTTTCACCTTTGTTCGACCAGGTGAATACATTAAATCATAATGAATATATCACTGTTATTCACAGTTGTGCATGAACTTGTATATTACTGCTAGGTGTACCCTATATATACAAATGGCTTTTCAGTAGACAACAGCTCGTTAAACATCAAAGATCTACACATCAATATACTGTATATCTAACTGAAGATGAAAATCAGTCTAATATATTGGGGGTGCAACCTCATCTATTACATCATTTAAAAATCAAGATAGTGAATGTAAATGCATGGAATTTACAATGTTACTTCTTCCTGTTTGATTGCACACTTCCTATGTGTTTATTTCTTTGTTTTCTTCTGTTGCTTTCATCATCATTGTTTGTTCACCTGTCTCTCTGGATGTTTACCTGTTTCTCACCTGACAGTCACCTTGCACATGTTTATTTCTATGTACCAGTATGTTAATGTGACCCTTTACTGTCCCTCTCTTTCTGTCAGTCTCTACTGACCTTGTTGAACTTTGAAAATAAGGAGTGCATGTACATGTACTTATACAGTTGTTGAATGAGTAGGAAGGATTTACTGTGCTTATCTATCCAAGATAATCTTTTTAAAAAGGGAGGGGTGTAGATGAAAATTAAATGAGATACTTTGAAAAAAGTCTATGAATCAGTGCAGAAAACAATTAAACATGAAGTTAATAGTGTATTTTAGTGTCCCTAGTGTAGTTTTAGTGTCCCTATTTTATCCCCATTGATAACCATGCTATATGTTCTTGTCTCCTACAGGGTGACTGTCAGGGAGTTGGGTAGACATGTTTGGCGGTTTGTCCAAACTGTTTGGGAGTTGTGGACGACTTCTGTGGAGTGACTCGACGGAGCCTCCCAGCAGTGGTTATGACATGGTGAACAAGGAGGACGACTCGGCCATTCTCAACGAGTTCTCGCCTGAGGAGGAGCCATTGTCCCCTGAGGATATTGTGGTGTCCCAGCCTATTTGGTTGGGAAGGACTGATAACATTGTGAAGAATAAGTCCACACCTAATCTGAAAGCTGCCTCTCTATCAAATGGAGCTGGGAGTATATACCAGCCAACAACTTTATCTGGCATCAGGTCCAGTAAATCTTCTGAAAATGTGTCGGTAACTAGTACTTCACAGAATATGAAACCCTCTGGTAGTCCCAAGTCTTCAGTTGTACGCTCGAATCCAAAGAAAGGACACTCTGTTCATGTTTCACATTCCCCATCTGTGTTCTCAAGTCCAATTGTCAAATCTGGAAATATGAATCTTCCCAAGCCCTCGGGTTCTCGGAACACTTACAAAATGTCGAAAAAACAAAAATCGGAAGAAGTGAAACTTCAGATTGTGTCTGTTGTTTGAGAGGGTAAAACAAGAAGGATTTGTTTTGAAGATGCTTCAAAATGGTGCCAAAGAAGTAATTTAGTTGTTTTGTAGAAAAAAAAAAGAGCATGCTTTTATTGCTTAATTGGTAGAGTATGCCTGCTCAGGTTTAATAAATCAAAGCTTTACCTAGAGTTTCGAAAAAGAAAAAAGTTTCTATTGAATTTTGTGTCATATGCTAGATTCTTGCAGATTTTTAATTCATGATCATAGTCTATTGTTTTCTTTCTTCCCTTGAAGGAAATGGGAAATTGGTGTTTCTTTCCAAACAAAATGGAATCTCACAAGAAGTTTTAATTTTTTCCATTGTTAAAAAGTATTTTTTTTATCATGGGAGTGAAAGAAATGCTCCATCTTTTACAGATGAGATTTTTTTAACATTTTAAAAATCTGTTGAACCAGTACAGGTGTTCTTGTTGGTGGAATTTGTGAGAATTCTTTTTCTTACTTTGTAATGCATTTTTAAGTGAACATTTTTAAACCAAAGTAATTGCCTTTGAAAGCTTTTATGTGCATAATGCAAGAAAGGGGCCTTCTGTTAACTTACTCTTATTAACAAGTGTGCACTAATGATGCACCAAGTTTATGAGTGCTATTTTGAATAATAAGTGGATTGAAGTCATTTCTTGTACTTTTTTATATTTTATTCTGTAAATTTCACATAGAATACTAAATTTATTACAAAAAGTATAGTAATTGACACATTATAAACTTGCATTAAAATTCATATTTGCTATATCAAATTTATATTGTATCTTACCCTATACTTAGATTTTGCTGAACAATTTATTGTGTCAAAATGTATACCAACATTTGTTAATATCAATTTCATTTGAACTCTTTATAAAAGATTTATTAACTCTAACTAAGAAATTGAAGAATTACATTTATATGATGCACCTTGGAATCAGTCATGTTTATTTTTGCATTTTTAAATCACAATCCATGTTTGTTTCATGTTGAATATGCAGTTTTCTTGCTCTTTGTCATTCATTATTTATATCACCAAAGTATCATTTTCATGAATTTACATTAGCATAAAAGAAAGATGCAGTAAAAATTAAGGCTGTTTGCACTAAAAGATAAAATTTTTTGATAATATGCAGTGAAATGAAATTGGCATCTTTTATTTGTTTGCTAGCTCACATATATATTTTAACTACCAAAGATGACCATGTATGTTCATTTTAAAAGTTTCAGATGTTTTTAATCATGATCAAAGAAGTTTTACAAATAAGAGAGGCATACAGAGAAATTTTATTCTTGTATAAATGTTATATAGACTGCATGTGTAAAAAATATTTTATTTTTATAAAAGAATAAAAAAGTTATAAAAAGAAATTTGAAATTCTCTTTATTTTAATACCACATAGACATAACCATTACAGGTTGACTTTAGTGATAAAAGGAGAAGGCTACAACAGTTTTTTTACTCCATAGACATGTAAAGTACTTGTTCCTTCTAAGATGCTTTTAGTTTCATGACTTGTGAGGTCTCTCGCCTTGCAATGGAATTATTCTTGAATATTAGTTGTGTTTGTGTGGTCATTGGGTTTATTTGAAATGAAGAAATTATAATGATTGTTTAAATTATTTAGGTCTAGGTTTGAACAGTGTGCTAAACAGAGTGTAAATGCTTAAAATATTGCCCATACAAAAATAACTCTCTACTTTAATTTACATGCGCTAAAAAGACATATTTTTACTAAAGAAAAATCTGTGTTCAACAAAGGTTAAACAGTTAATACTGCCTTTTTAGTTATTAATCCATAGGCATAAGAAACACATTGAAAGGGAGGGGGGGGGGTAATTGAAAGTGGAAGGGCAAAACCAACAAAAGAGATAAGCCTTCATTTTCAATGCATATATTATGTATATCTTTGCAAAAACGGGGTGGGGGGTTAAGCCTTCCGTAGACCCACGGTTCCCACTCCTCTTTGATTAATCATATATAAGTTTTCCTTTGAAATCCCTGTAACTGCGATCCCTTTCTTATGTTTTGTCAACGATACAGTACGTTTTATTTTTAGCGTTCTGCAGACACAAGAATTACTGTATATATACAACGTAAAGTTGTTAGTTCCCAAAAAATGTAGAAAGAAGGGAGTGGGACAGTTCACAAAATTTAATGATTACTTAATAAATGGACACCTTTCTTGTTGATAAATTAAAAAGCGTATGTACACAGGTTTAGCAAAAATGATTTACGAAAGCGAAAAAGAAAAAAAAACTCACAGGAGGGTTGAGTCGGGGGTAGTGCTGGGATCCCCTATAGTTACTCTACATTTTATTAAAAACATGAAGGTAAAATACTCCTCTCCATCCTCCCCCTCCCCGCTTTCCTTTCATTTGTTTATTTAAATTTTTTTTATATTACGACAGGTGGAGGACCAGTACAGTTTTTTGTTAAAGAAATCATAGGGCGTTCTTATATATTAAAATGTTTTGCATTAAATCCGAATTTGAAATTCGCCAAATCTGTTATTTTCAAAAATTATTTGAGCGATAAATACCTGGGCATTTCAGAAAATAAAACTTTCTGCAAAATCATCTGATTGGTTGAGAGATATGTACAAAATTTTTAGTGAGGTCATTAGAAAGGTCATGTCACAAGTATATTGAAAAAAGTGGCTGAAATCCAAGAGCAATATATACTGTTCAGTTTTTTTAAAGAAATCATAGGGCGTTCTTTTAAATCGCCCCGTTTGAAATTCGCCAACCTGTTTAAAGAGCGAAAGGGGCGAAAATAAAACGGGAGCAAAATTTTTCCTGTATACAGTATATTGTTATCTTTATCAAACTATCTTTATAGTGATTGCATTGACCATGGATTTTGGACTCAGCAAGATGTCTCTTCGTTCAGAGTCTTTCAGGTCAGGTAGCCCTCGTTAAAAGTACTGAAAACGATGCAAGTGTTACGGTACCCCCCAGGGTTCCGACCAATGCAGCACTATACCGAATCATTAACAGATCAAATTCACTACTAATCACTTATGAACAAATAGTTCATGTATACGTTTACATTTCTGCAGAAATCGATGGTTGGTCGTACACCGGCTGCTAATGATGACGTAGCGAATCGATTTCTACATGAGATTGTTTTGTATAATCGCTGTGCCTTATTGTTTTCATCAGCCTATGAATTATGCAGTTATCTGTAAATTGTGGCCATGCAATACATGCTGCAAAGGACCCCCATGTCCCGCTGGTGTTTCTGAAGTGTGATGTAATGTTCCTAGTGTGTGATCTACCAATTACTTTTTTGCAGGATGAAGCCCGTTCCCTTGTAGCGGCGATATTTCGTCTCTGACATCGGCCGCCAAATGAGGTAAGACATCGATCATATTTTTTTCCTTTTTAAAATGTTTATACAACATTTATAAAACAGCAATCAATTTTGCAGCAGATAGGCGAAGTTTGATTATTGACGGTTTTTATGAACGGGGAAAAATATGTCCTCGAAAATAATACGATTTTCAGTTCTTATAATGAAATATGAAAGTAACGAACAGTAAGCAAGCTCCAAAGTCCAATTAATACAAACTGGGAGCAGAGCTAACAAGGACATCATCCGAGGTGGGACCAGAATCCTTAGAGGAGCAAGCATCCCTTGTCGACACCGGTCACACCCGCAGCGTCTTATCATGGTTGGGTGAACGGAAATCCGTTGATAGTTCAGTGTTAAAGCTATGACCTTACAATTTGTATGAAAAACTTCAGAAAACATTTGACTTGTTGATGTATTGTTTTTAATTCCCGACAACGTCATTGAATCGACCATATAATTTGCGAAATGTTGACATTAAACAAGACTGGTGATATCCTTGTTTCATCAACTTATTTGCCAATAGATTGCACAATTTCAGAAATTTTTCGTACATACATGTATACTGCATGTTCTGGCATTTTGAATGAATTAGGAGAAATAACTCAATATGCAGGTGAAGATGGTGTATTGCTACATTAATAAGTGAAGGTTATTTAGAGTTCACACGGATAAATAGAGTTAACGGAAGAATGAAAATGAATATTGTAAATTTAATAAAAAAAAAGGGTGTTGTTGAATTGAAGGCCAAATAAAGAGACTTTTTCTTTGTATATAGAAAATTTGAATGAATTCTGCGTCATATGATTATGAATTTAAAAAAAATTGCTCTGCTAATAACTAATAACGGGACGCAATATCTTTACATCTTTTTTTTCAATTTAATCAATATACAACAACATACATGTTATTGTTTTCGTTTAAAACAAGATTACACTTAATTTACTGAATATTTTTTATTCAAAATTTCCAAAATTGATTAACAAGTAAGACAGTTCTGAAGTTACCACATTTGTCAAATTCACTGTAATGACATCAAATGCCATTTTACTCAAACTGCATAACAAATACGTACTTTCTGTAAGTGTGCACAGTGAAGAGGATTTTGGAGTAATTATTTTATATCATTTAAACAGGAGTAATTATTTATGTCATTTTAACAATTTTATTGAATCTTGAAGAATTTTTAAACCTCTGATGCAAAGAAGCAAATTGTGCTTAAAGTGTATTCACTTTGTTAAATATTATCTTGCAGCATGCTTTAGGAAATAGAAAACATTGGTGAATTTGTACTGTTTTAATCATATTTCAAGGAAATATCATTTTCGTGAAATTATTGATATTTGAATGGCGTATATGTCATAAACTTGACAACATATGAGATTTTTCTGTAATTCACCACGTAAAACTCTGACTCACTTGATTCACATTGTCAAGTCACCAGACAAAACACAATTAACTTATACAGCTATCTAATAACTTCGCAACGGGGGCCTTATGTAATTTATAATTACACTGATAATGGCTATAAAAGATGACTTGTCTGTAGGGCTAGTATATTACTCCTATCGTTATTCATTATTTTCGTGATTAACCTCCCCTTCTTTTACAGCGCCTGCAGGGAAGGGTGTCGAAGGGCATTTCGGGGAATCCTGCACATTCCCGGTTGCAAAACCATATGTTTTAAATGTGTTCTGTTGCCTTGCTACTCGAATACCGATAGTGACGATGAAAAAGACAAAGACGATGAAGGCTACGATAGCTATGGAAATACAGAAACTCATGGGCAACCGACTCAAGAGAGCGGCCATGACACATCCGGGTACTCGGAACAACCGACGAATCGTGATTACGTCAACAGTGTTCAGTATACCAACATTGAAATTTCAGAAACGGTTCAAGCACAAAGTTCGGACAACGTTTATGTCCCCATGCAACTAGAATCTCTTGACCACCTTATGACAACACAGAACTCAAATAACAGTCAGAATACCGATAATTCAAATACTGAGTTGATGACTTGTAAATTGAAAGTTGAATGTCCAAACCCGTCATATGTGAATGTTCCCGAGTCAAGTCCTTCACTTATAAGGACAGACAGACATACGGTTAATGAAAAAAGCATATGTGTATCAAATGTTGATGTTCACGAGGAAAAAGAGGTAGATTCAAGGATCAAGGATGAGTCCATACAGCATTCCAAGTTGGCAGCGAATCAGGGACCCTCTGACAAGCAAGTCTCCCCA